TTGTGTGTGTGTGTGTGTGTGTGTGTGTGTGCGTACTTGCATGTGTGTATGTGTGTGTGTGTGTGTGTGTGTGTGTGTGTGTGTGTGTGTGTGTGAGTGTGTGTGTTAGTGTCATATTGAAAGTTGGCCTAACTTGGAGCGTATGCGTAGACAAAGCCTAGTGGGTACACAATGTGAACGGATTTACCCTTATCTTCTACTACCGGTAATATTTCAAGCAGAGTTATCTTTTCCTACTTCCGCCATCTTCTGCTTTTGCTACCGCTGGCGAAAGTGAAAGTTGCAAAGAAGAAGTTGTATGTGTATTTCTTTTCCATGAATTGAGGACTTGAAACGGTAAATCGCTGTGGACAATATTTTCAACTGGTTTAGTTTGGACTGATTGCATAGTTGTTCTTTCATTCATGATTTCCACAGACAGGTGTTTCTTCTACTGTTTATCCCTTCCTCTGTTTTTCTGAGAGGCTACTTCCGGAATCACTTAGCCTTCTCATCCATCTCTTGCATTGTTTGTAGTGCCCCTCCCATGTCATACCTTGGGGGTACCGGCAGTTCTGATGTGAAAGGATAACTGCTTGTTTTTAATAAAACATAACTTTAGTTCTTGGAATAAAATCCAGAAATACTGCTGGAAACCGCAGAACTAAGAACTGTTGTTGCATTACAACACAATTACATTCTTCATTACTTCATATTTACAATACTGTCAATAATACGCAGCCCCCTTCTTCAAGACTGACAGATCAGATCTATTCATTATCATCACAGTCAGTGATAAGAATCAGAGGTCTTCGACTTCAACCATTTTTACACTGTGGTATAGATCTAGCTAAGAATGTTATTTACTCACTCATAGCTTTTTTCTTTTTCATCTAGTCTAGATCTAAATCTAAATCTAGAATGGATGCAAGATAAAAACATTGTCGTGTAGACCAATTTTCTGTAAATTTATAGAAACACTCCCGTCTCTTAAAGGGTAGGCCTATTGCTTGTAACTGTAGGCCTATCCTATAAGGTTTGTTTAGGGCCCTGAACACGATTTTGGCTTTCAAAATCATTGCAAAAGATTAGTTTAGATGTTACGGCCCATCTTTTGGAACCTTGTTAGATTATTTTCAATTTATTTAAACCTGTTTTTGGTAAAGTTAATACTAGATCTAGATGTCTATTTGTAAGTGATACAACTGCAAACTTTGGGTGTTTGATCAGTTCATTGAATTTCATATGTGTAGTATATTGGTTTTTCATATATTTTCTTAAATTGTCCTCTTGTTTCAGACTGACTGCGACTGATCAGTAATTTGAACTAAGATCATGCCTGACTGTACATACCTGTAGAAATAATACTGAGGTAGCCACTACAAAAGAGGACAGCAAGGGAACAAATCACATAAAAGGGTTACAACAGTCTACGCAATGTTTAGTTTTAGGAAGAAAGACAAGGAAAAGGATAAGGAGAAGAAGGAGAAGCATGAAAAGAAAAAAAAGGAGAAGGATGAAAAACATGACAAGAAAGAGAGAGAAAAGAAGGAACGGCAGCACATGACCCCAGAGGAGATGTCTCGTATCGAAGAGATGAAGAAGGGTGTGTTCCGTCGCTTCAGCGATAAAGACAAGAAGCGGCACTCTCAGAAATCTTTGGACCGAGCAAGTCCCTCCGAGGAGGAGGAGGAACGGTCTGGAGCCAGCAGCAGGGGTAGCCCAACCAAGGATGCACGGCCATTGCTAACCCGACCGCAGCCATTACCAAGGCAATCTATACCTGCAAAGAGTTCCCCCCCTCCTGTACTCCCAAAACCAAAGGTCAAAAGCATCCTGAAAGGGAAAAACGACAGCACATCATCTTCACCTTCTGTTGACCTGGATGATACAAAACTACTGCAAGAAAATACAAAACGCAATGAGGATATGTTTGCAAGCAACTTTTCTTCAAGGTCATCATCTACGCAAAAGCTCAAGGCTTCACCAGTAGGATCTTCCATAGCCACAACACCATCTACGCCAGGGGATGACTTCCTTGAGTCAGAAGAGGAAGATAAAGGCAATAAAAACTACGCAGAAGCTTCTAAGCTTAAACTCCCACCTTTGATTCTGCCCAAGCCACCGAGGATGCGAGAAATTGTGGTCAAGCGGCTACAGTCCGGTGGTTTTGGGTTTAGTCTACGCAAGGGCCTCATTCCAGATCGCAGTGGAGGGCCTCCAAAGGCAGTCACATTCGCCGAGCCTGGCAGTGGCCCCACCAGCATACAGACGGGGCTTTTGCCAGGGGATCGACTGATTGAGGTGCGTTGACTTGTTTCCAAATCAGTTTAACAAGAAAATAAAGGGG